AGCAGGGTTGGATCAAGGGTTGGACTGGATGATCTCAGAGGTCCCTTCCAACCCAGCTGATTCTCTGATTCTGTGATCCTCAGTGCCCATCATCCCCTCTGGGATGTCCCAGCACCCCGTGCTGACCATCCTGGGGCTCTTTGCCCTGTGCCCATCACAGGTCTGAGCCCTTCCCAGAGCCCTGGCTATGGCTATGCCCCTGCTCAGAGCACAACCCTCTTCCCCAGCCAAAGTGTGCTGATTTTCTCCTGGTCTACATCGCCCAGATGCTCGACTTCTAAATAATTCAGAAGTAGTTCTATTAAAGAGCCATTAAGAAGAAAAAGAAAGAGAAATCTTCTGGGAGAAACCTTGTTAGTAGCAAGTACACACATAATGAGATATTGGACAAAGAGTCTGTCCCCTGCTGTCAGAACGTGTTAGGGGAACATCCAGTCCACCTGGGTGGATCCAGCTGGATGGTGCTGCTGTAGCCAGGCAGAGGTCACCCAGATAAGCATGAGAAGATGCTATCTGTGTGCTTAAATTTCATGTGATGCCTTTTGTAAACATATTTTTGGGCTGTCATCTCCGGATCTCTCCTTGGGAGGGGATGGACTGCAGCGGGTGTGCAAACACCCTGTTCTATATTTGGTGGTAATTGCCCAGAGATTGGCAGGTGGAGCAGGTAACAAGGAAAAGAAGTGGCTGTAACTGGAGTCAAAATTAGGATCACTCTGTTTCTCCACAGTAATTTTTCAGTTGGTTAAAAATTCAAGCAAGTGCTGGTGCATGACATGCACTGATACAATGTCTGGCTCCTCTCTTGCTGCTCAGGTCTGGCTCTCCCTCTGTGGTTGCCAAAACTGGGTCTCTGGGCCCAGGCTTTAATCTCCAGAGGGCAGGAGAAAGACACCTGCATTAGTAATGTGCTTGGCCAGCTTTGTGTTGGTTCCATAGCAGGATTTCCTATTTCTCTTCTCAAGTGTTTCATTCCTTCATTTCCCACACAGCTGGCCATGACCATCCTCCAGAGAGACCTGTGAGGGATCCTGACCATTAACCCTGTTGGTTTTACAGCCCAGTGTGGAGGAACAGCAGAAGAGATGGAAGGAGTGCTCCTGAGCCCAGGCTTCCCAGGAAATTATCCCAGCAACCTGGACTGCACGTGGAGGATATTGCTGCCAGTGGGGTTTGGTGAGACAGCTGGGTTTGAGACAGAAGAGGTGGTGGGAAGATCATAGAATCATGGAATGGTTTGGGTTGGGAGGGACATAAAAGCCCATCCAGTCCCAGGGCAGGGACACCTTCCACTATCCCAGGTTGCTCCAACCTGGCCTTGGACACTGCCAGGGATGGGGCAGCCACAGCTTCTCTGGGCAACCTGTGCCAGGGCCTCCCCACCCTCTCAGGGAGGAATTTCTTCCTACTCTCCAATCTGAACCTGCTCTCTCAGTGTGTGCCCACCCTCTGTCCCCGCCATGGTGAATGTCCTGCTGCCTGCCCGGGCTGTCCAGGGCCCCACGGGCGAGCAGCGCCGCTGAAGGTGCTGCTGGAGGTGGAGCTTTAGGTGCAGACTGTTCCTTCCTGCTCTCCAGGTGCTCACATCCAGTTCCTGAACTTCTCCACCGAGCCAAACCACGACTTTGTGGAGATCCGGAACGGGCCCTACGACACCAGCACCGTCATCGGGCGCTTCAGCGGCGCCGAACTGCCCGGCTCCCTCCTGTCCACCTCCCACGAAACCACCGTGTACCTGCACAGCGACCACTCCGAGAACAAGCCAGGCTTCAAGCTGGAATACCAAGGTGAGGAGGGCACGGGTGGAGCAGCAGGGGGACAGTCATAGAATCATAGAATCAGAGAATCAGCTGGGTTGGAAAGGACCTCTGAGATCATCAAGTC